AGAGAAACTATGAACTGTGCTCACTCATGACCACAGTCTATGATCTCCCTTACATCCATCAAACCCTTTATGAACGAACACTTACATCATGAACTGTGCCTCCATGGTTATACTGTCTCTGGAAAATATGTTTGCTCGTGTTCTTTTCCCTGTCTTGTCTTGACCAGGTTGCAAAACTGGAAGCATTCATGGTTTGAAGTAAGATGGCCCTTCAAGAAGTTCTGGTGGGTAGTTGACCTTCATGGTGTATTTGTGTAGCACGTGGTGCCTTGAGCAGAATGGGCACATACAGTATCCTGGTAGAGAAGAACTCTAATATCCTGGTGGAGATTTGACTATCACGTTTTTCTCATATAAAATGGAATTCGACCCTTCCCAGAAGTGTCTGGGTACTGAGAACACTAACAGGCAAGACTGTTGATACCAGTCTACACAGGGTTAGAGTGTGGTCACATTCAGCCATTCGTGTATTCATTCGCTTCTTGTAAAAATCCACGACTGGTAGGCACTTGTTAAGACTTGAGGAGGACAAGGTGGAAGCTGGTAACCAGAACAAGTCAGGTGAGCTAATAGCCTCAGACCCAACAGGCAATTCCAATAGCACATACTGGTCTGGCCCTTTACATTCTGTTTGTTTTTGCTCTTGAGGCTGAGCACATGATCTTATTCCTGGACATGGGCTACCAGCTTTACTGTCTTGCCCTTTGTCCTCCTTATACTCTTTCTTGGCAAGTGTCAGAAAACTCTTGCCTCCTTCAATAGGAGAGACCCCAGCCTTTTCTTTCATTAAAGTTGGAAGTGTTTGCCAAGTACCTTTCAATTGTGTGTGGATTTTGTGGGAAGTCCTTTAGCTATTTGGTGGGCAGAGTGCACTTCTGGGGCCCTATGAGAGGTGATTTTTGTGTCTGGAGGCTGAGTCTGGGCCACGGAGAAGTAAGCACAGGCTGAGGAATAGGGGTCGCCATAGGTGAGCTGGGAGTCTCCCGGTGTGATTAACTGTGAGTCCCACCTCCGTACTGCCCCTGCTTCTGGGCTGACCCCTCTGATTTGCCCATGCTAGCTTCACAGTCTGCTAGGAAGGGTTTCTTCATGGTGTCAGGGTTTGTGTTGCTGCTTTGTAATTCTTGTGTTTTCATAACATAATGTAATTCTTCTTTTGGACCCTCCGAATTATATAGCCAATTCTGGGTATATCCTTATTCTGTTTATACAATTTTATGTTCGTTTTAGACTCTTTAGAATTTATGGACAATGAGCAAGAAGAAAAAGAAAATTATTTCATATTTTACCCTCAGAAATGAACATTTTTAATAGTTCATTGAGAACTTTATTTACATAAATGCCTAGAGATGGGCTCAATTTGCAAAATCCATCATGGTGTGAATTCCCTGTTTTCCTCTGGACAACTAAAATGTACCAATAAACTCAATTAAAGCTGAAAAAAAAACCCCAAAAACCCATGTTTTCTTTATTTCAAAAGAAAATTGAAAATTTCCTTCTTGATTTTTTCATGGACATATGGGTAATTTTAAGAGAATTAAAAAATGTCCATATATTTGTAATTTTCACAGATTCTATGTGTTGTTGGTTTTTTTTTGGGGGGGTGGTGGTACCAGGGATCTAATCCAGGATCTTGTGCTTGTGAGGCAGGCAGCAGCACCACTGAGCTAAATCCCTGGACCTTCCATGTGTTGTTAATTTCTAGTTTTATTTCATTGCAGTCAAAGAAGATACATGACAAAATTTTCAGTCTTTGGAACTTGTTGAGACTGGGTTTGTGGCCAGTCTCAACATTGCTCAGTTCCTTGAATTACATTGTTAGATTGTCAGTTCTAAATCTTTTCATTTTTGAAGTACTCAGGATTGAATTTAGGGGCCTCAACATACTAGCTGAGTGCTTTGCCTCTGAGCTTTATCCACAGACATTATTATTATTGTTATTTTTATTTTTAGACTGGGTTTTAATAAGTTACCCAGGCTGGCCTCAAACTTGGAATCCTTATGTTTCAGTGCTCCCCAAGTGTCTGAGCTTAATAGGTATGTGACACAGTGCATGGATTTTTCTGTTTTTTAATTTTTTTGCAGTAGTAGGAGTTGAACACAGTCCCTTCACAATTAGCTATATCCCGTCTTTTCTTTTATTTATTTATTTATATATTTATTGGTACTGGGGATTGAACTCGGGTCCTTGCACTTGCAAGGCAGGCCACCAAACCGCTGAGCTAAATCCGTGGCCCAGTATATCCCATCTTTTAAAAAAAAATTGAGATAGAATCTTATTAGGTCACTAAGTTGTCCAGTCTTGACTTGAACTAGTGATTTGCTTGCCTCAGCCTCCCCAGATGCTGGAATCACAGGCCTGCCAGTTATTCCTGGGTTCTTTCCATTTTTTGATGTGTGAACTTTTTGCTATAAAATTTCCTCTAAGTATTTTTGGATTGTTTCATGGGTTTTGGATCATTATTTTTCTTACTGCTTTGATTGATTTTTCAATTTTTTTGGTGGTGTTTCTGGAAAGTAAACCCAGGGTCTTTCATATGCTCAGCACTTCCTACCACTGAGCTATATTTCCACCCATGCACCCATTGCCTTGCAATGTTGTATTTTCATGTGGTTCAAGAAAACTTTAAAGTTTCCTCTTGATTTCTTCACACGCCCATTGGTTGTTCAAGAGAATCTCTTTCAAAATGTCCATGTATGATATCTTCAGAATTTCTAAAGTCCCTTGTGTTGCTGACTTTTAATTATATTACACTGTAGCTACAAAAGACACTTTGTATTATTTTCACCTTTTGAGTCTCTTGTTAGTTTGTGGCCTAATATAACCTGGGATACCTTCCGTGTTCAAAGAGAAGAATGTCTTCTGAGGCTGTTCTGCAAATGTTTGTTAGGTCCACTGGTGTGTACTATAGCTTGGTGTTTCTTTGTCATTTTTTTCTTTGAATGATCTGTCTACAGAAGAAGGTGGGATGTTGCCATCTCCCCCTGTTTCTGTGATGAATCTGGTTTCTCTCTTGAATCTAATATATTTATACACAATTATTATACCTTTTTGTGTAATGATCTTTTAATATACCATTTTTTGTCTTTTTATACTTTGACTTTAAGCCAGTTTTAATCAATGCAAATATAGATACTCCTGCTCACTTTTGGTTTGTGTGAAATATCTTTTTTATGTCCCTTTATAGTCAGTCTATGCATAATTTCTGGTGAAGTGAATTTCTTATAGGCAGAATACTGCCAGGTTTAGTTTTTTCCTCTGGTGTCTATTCATTCAGTATATAGATATATAGATATTAACTTTACTGGTACTTTTTAGGTATACAGTACATTTACACTCATCACTGGGATCTTGTACCTTTACATGATGTATCTTGGTTCTTATCAGTATATATCTTTTAATTAAAGTGTTTAATGATGTGGTTCCATTCAAGGTTATTATTGACAAGCAAATGCACAGTCTCATAATTTTGTTATTGTTTTCTGTTAGTTTGGTGTATGCTTTGTTTATTCTTTATCTTTCGTGTTCCATCTTTGTGATTTAGTGGGTTTCTGTAGTGATGGGGTTTAACTAACTGCTTATTATTTTTTGGGAATCTGCTCTACTGTTGAGTTTTGTACTTTTGTGTGTTCTCATTGTTTTGCTTCTAGTATAGGATGCCTTTAAGTTTCTTTTAACTTCTCTCTCTTGAGGGCTGCTCTTCTGTTAATCAGTTTTGCAAAGTCTTTATTTCTCCTTTCTGAGGAGTATAGCAGTTTCTAGTTAGCATTTTTTTTCTTCAGGACTTTGAATATCCCATAGCCTTTTCTCTCTTGGTCTTTATAGTGTTCAATGAGAAGTTTATGGTTAGTCTTTGGGTTTCCTTTTTATGTGGTTTGACACTTTTGCTATTTTTGGTGTTCTGTCTTTGTCTCAAACTTTTGACAAGTCTGCTGTAGTATGACTCAAAAAACAATTTGGGCCACATTCACTGGAACCTGCAGCTTCTTATCTAAAATATTGCTGAGTCTCTATTATATTTATCTATTATTTTTCCACATTGTATTAGTAAAATTAAAAAAATTTAAAAAAAATTTCCTGCTAAATAAACAATTCAGTATTTTGAGATATATATGATCCTGCTATGCTTGGCATTTTCAGTTTTAGCTCCACTGCTGTTCTGTAGATAGCCTCTTTTTGCATCAATCTGTTTCTCAGTCTTTTTTTTTCTTTAAACTTGGATAGGAGTTTTTTTTCCTCATTGGGTTTATTGGTACATTTTAGTTATATAGTACAGTTACATTCATCATTGGGATCTTTTGTTTTTTAATTTTTTTTTTTTGAGACAGGGTCTCACTATGGAACTCACTATGTAGCCCAGGTTGGTCTCAAACTCACAGCGATTCTCCTGCCTCAGCCTCCCGAGTACTGGGATTACAGGCGTGTGCTACCATGCCCGGCCCCATCATCGGGATCTTGTACCTTTACATGACAGGTCTTGGTTCTCATTTTTCCCCCCTTATCCCTTCATCCCTCCCTTCCCTATTTACAAATACTTTATTTCCATTTTACCTTTTCACATAATTTTACTTTCCCCCTCCCCTTCCCACATCCCATTTCTAATTCTTGAAAGTTTCCTACCACCAACACCATTCAATGCTGAGATTTTTTTCCCCTCATTTTCCTCTCTTATTTCTTCTTAAGGAAAATCTTACTGATACTTTTTAGGCCTAGGTCAAATATTTCTGCCCCTTTAAAGGTTGTTCTAAACAACAAATAATGCCCCAATTTCGTACAATCAAAAAAGCTAATGGAGGTAGCTTCTTTCTCATTAGAGCCCTCCCACATTCTGCACGCTAACAAAGTTGATTTTGACAGTTCCCCCAGCCTAATCGCTATTTCAGAGGAAGCATGGACATTGTGATTCCTTAGTCTGATTTTCTTGGTACCACCTTGCAAACCGGTTTTCTTGCCTTTAGCCTGACCCTTGAGACCCGGTGTGCACTGTAATGAGGTTCACATGAGCATCAGTGTCTCCCTCACTGCCTCCTTTCCTCCAGGGCTCCGGCTGGTCAATGGCAGCAGCCCCTGTGAGGGCTGAGTGGAGCTTCAGGTGCAGGGCACTTGGGCACCCCTCTGTGCAGCCCGTTGGGATTTAGCAGATGCCACCGTCCTGTGCCACCAGCTCAATTGTGGGAATGCAGTGGCCACACTGGGAGGAGGTCATTTTGGGGATCAGGATACTCCCATCTGGCCAGATGTGTTTCACTGTGTGGGGGCTGAACTCTACTTGTGGAATTGCCCATCCAGCATCCTGGGAGCAAAGCCCTGTGCCCTGGGAAACTCTGCCTCCATCCTCTGCTCAGGTGGGTACTGCTCTAGGACTGTGGAGGAAGGTCAGAGAGCAGTGAACAGAGCAGACGAGGGGCAAGAAGGGCTGCAAATGGATGGGGCTCTGTGGGGTGGTTGTCCTTCCTTTTTCCACCCCTGTGACCCCCAATCTCACCCGAAGTTCAGAATCCCCTCATTGTGCCTCCCAGGTCTCTCCAGAGCCCTTAGGCTGAGGGATGGACAGAGTCGCTGCGATGGCCATGTGGAGGTCTCCCTGAACGGAGTGTGGGGCCGCATCCTGGATGACGCCTGGGACCTGCATGCTGCCAGTGTTTTGTGTAGGCAGCTTGGGTGTGGAGAGGCCCTGAAAGCCTATGACTCCTCAACCCCTCCCCAGGGTGCAGTCCCAGTGGGGCTGAGCCAGACATCCTGTGTGGGCTCGGAGACCCGCCTGACCCAGTGCAATATTTCAGTGTCCCCCTTGGTGCCTGTGGGGACCTTACAGGCTGCAGGTGTTGTGTGCTCTGGTGAGTGTGGGTCCCCCAGGCTTCCTCTGCCCTGACCTTCACAGACCTGGCAGGTCCTTACTCAGCCTCTTCTCAGGGAGCCTTCGGGTGCGGCTGGCTGGAGGTCCTGGCCGCTGTGCAGGGCGTGTGGAGGTGCTGTACAGAGGTGCATGGGGCACGGTGTGTGATGACGCCTGGGACCTGCAGGATGCCCATGTGGTCTGTGAGCAGCTGGGCTGTGGCCGCGCCCTCAGCACTACAGTGGCCGCACACTTTGGGATGGGATCGAGACCTATCTGGATGGATGAGCTTGGCTGCCTGGGCAATGAGTCTGCACTGTGGCAGTGCCCATCGCGGGGCTGGGGCCAGCACGACTGTGGGCACAAGGAGGATGCCGGGGTCTTCTGCTCAGGTTGGCGCAAGGTCCAGTGTCTTTTATGTCCCTATCCTCCCATCTCTTCCTCGCTAACTGGCCTCTCTGTCTGCAGAGTTCACGGATCTCAGGCTGCGGAATTATGGTCAGCCATGCACAGGGCGGCTGGAAGTTTTCTACAATGGGACTTGGGGTGGAGTCTGCCCTGCTCTGAATGCTGCCTCCTTGGGGATCCTGTGTGATCAGCTGGGCTGTGGTTCCCAAGGGCAGCTGCTGGCCAGGGCAGGGAGCTGGCCTTCTCCTGGAGCTTTCTGGCTGGCTTCCATTCAGTGCAGGCCCAGGCATGACAGGTCCCTGTGGCAGTGCCCTTCAGCACCCTGGGACCAGCATTCCTGCTCTAGTATGGAGGAGGCCTGGGTCCTTTGCTTAGGTGAGTAGGAGGCGATGTGCTTGTGTGCCTGTTTGAGGGGCAGTGACTTCCACGAGGCTCCTGAGCTGGCTGTGGACCATCTAGTGTCGCCTCAGACCTTTGGTTCTCCCACAGCGACAGAAGCAGAACTACTGGGCTTCTGGGCATCTTAGGCCATCCACAGGAGACTGGTGTGTGAAACTTAGTCTGTACCCTCCTTTTGAACAGAAACAGTTCTGTTCCTTTCATTAACAGAAACTCTTTGGTATGGAGACTCAAAGGCAAAGGGCAGGAAAACATTCCACAGCAGGTGAAGCTGCCAAGCTTGCAAATCCTGAGATGATTCCTAATTTTCCACACAGTGAAGGCAGAAATTCCTGAGGACCATGAGCAGACTCTCAACTGTTCATCCATGCTCAGCTGCCCTTCTTTCTATGCCCTGGTTCACCTACACAACCCACTGGGGTTCCAGAGATGACCACTGTCTCCTTTTTCAGAGGAGGGTGCACTGCATGTGCTTGGGGCGAGGATGGCTGCTTAGGACGTGTGGAGCTCTTTTATTCAAGCTCCTGGGGTACCGTGTGTGATGACTCCTGGGACCTGGCCGATGCTGAGGTCATGTGCCGACAGCTGGGCTGTGGCCAGGCTGTGGGAGCATTGCAGGGGGCTACCTTTGGTCCTGGATCAAGGCCTGTGTGGCTGGATGAGGTGAGGTGCCATGACAGTGAGTCATCACTGTTAGGCTGCCTGGCTGAGTCTTGGGGACATGGTGACTGTGCACACAAGGAAGATGCAGGTGTTCATTGCTCTGGTGAGTGGGTTGGGAATTGGGCGCAGGGACACAGTCTTTAAATATCTGCTCTTTTCTACTGAGCCACATCCCCCCGCCCAGGTCCCTGGTGTGAAAAGCCTCATTTTGTGATCCAAGCACAGGCTTCTGCTCCTCTGTTCTGTTGAGCTCTGGCTGAGTAGGACATGGACTGGCTCTGTATTGGGCAGGTTTGTGCTGCTCAGGGTTGTCCATACCTCCTCATGTTGGTGCTTAGGTGTGCATTTTCCTTGGTGTCTTGGGAACCTGATATTAGGTTGGTGACCCCTTGTCACCAACCGTATGCTTGTTCCTGAGTGACCAGGAGGGCCTAGCTCTGCCTGGTCCTGGGGAGGCTGGGTTCCCATGCCCAAGACTAACTCTCTTCAAGTGTTCCAGGCCCATGGATTAATGTCAATTGCTTTCCTTCCCTCTTCCTGCCTGAGTGTGGAATTCAGGACTGAGAACAGCCACATGTCAGGGGGAGTTCCTTTGGTGACTGTGGGGTTTGGCCTCTTTTTTCCAAGGCAGGGGCCAGGGGCTTTCCCTTTTTCTCCACATGGGTCATATGTCCTGTACCTTCTCACTCAACCCCCCTAGTGATTAGAAATCTACCTAGAATTTCCTCCTGGGTCTGCTACCTAGTCCCTTCCACCTGGACCCTGCGCTTGGACCACACTTCCTTGTAATCTTGGGCCAAATTTGGGAGAACATTAGCTTGTCCAGGTAGCACTGAGGCCCATCTCTTTTGAGTCTCCCTCTACCTCAGAGGTTGAGGTCATTCAGGCATAGGGTCACAATGCCCCAGGCAACCCAGCACACAGGAGGCCCCACCTTTCTCTGTTCCCCACAGCCCCTTCCCTGACCCCTCCACCTATTGCTGAGGCCTGGACTCTGCCAAAGACTTCCTGCCTCGTTCTTGGCTGCCTCCTGGGCCTTGTCTTCTTTGTTCTGGGAGTTCAATATTGCTACAGCAGAGCTGCCTGCATGGGTAGGTGGATATGACCGGTAATAATTAGAAAAGGGCTTGGGAGTGGAGGCTGGCGTAACCTTGGGAAACTCCAGTCATAGCAGGCCCTTCCTGTTCCGGTCCTTGCCCTACATACTGGCTTTCTCCCTTCTAGCCCCTGTTTAGTGACTAGGGTGGACCTATGAGGTAGATCCATCAGATGTTGAGGACCTGGGCACTCTGAACTCTTATTTCACTGTTTCTAAGATGAATAGATAAGGGCATGCCAACTCCTGCGGCACCAGCAGGCTTGTCCCCCATCCTTTTCCTGTCATTGCAGGTTGAGGGCCTTGGGATGGGTTCAGACCTTCTAGCCTTACTAGAATTCTGATCCCCGTGTGACCAAAAAAGTTCTTGGCTCCAATGAGGGTGACTGCTCTCAAAGAGACAGATGCAGAGGCACTGGGGCTTTCAATGTGCATGAGGGGCTGCAGGTTCCAGGGAAGAGAGAGTTTAGGCTGCAAGACTGTTTGTCCTTTAAGGTTCTTGTGTGTCCTTACAGGATCTGGACTTTCTGAGCCCCTGCCCTCTGAGGGTGTCTATGAGGACATCGAACCTGTTCCTGAGCAGGAGACAGAGAAGAGGCCCTCGGGGTCTGGAGACCCAGTGCTGGAGGATTATGATGACATAGAAGAGCCTCAGCCAGGCCATGGGGAGGAAGCGGAGGAAGCAGAGGAGTTCAGAGTCCTACTCAGCCCCATGGGTGTGCATCTCTGTGCCTTTGGGATCATTGTGCTCGTCTTGCTCTACTGCTTCTACTTAGAATGCTGTGCTCAAGTTGACTCCTATATTTAAAATAACTGAGAAATATTTTTCTGTGTCTGTGATCTTCATTCCTCTGTCAGTCCTAGGATGTTGGTCTGTTCTCCTGTCCTTTCAAGAAGGTTCCTCAGGTTGGAGTCTTCTCATTGACATTTGACCTGACATTGGGTCACGCAGTTCCTTTGGATATCTTTTGTAGCTGCTCTAGGTGGTTGGGTTGGGGTGTTTCAGGTTAGAGATAATCTTTGTGTCATCTGATCCACTATATTGAACCCGTGTCAGCTTTAGGGGCTTTGCTTTGCATTGGGATTCCAGTAGGACAGAACTCCCGGGGTTCTGAGAAATCTCTGAAGATGACAGCTCATCTCTCTCCTTAAATGAAGATGGGGCTACATGCTGCCTGGGACCTGAAGCTTAGCCAGGAATGAAGTTCTATTGTAGACTATGGCCCATCAGATGATGCCCATGAGCTGACCATGGAAACCATGAATGTTCTTAGAGCATGAGAAGAACCTAGGAGCCTGGGGTCTTCCTTATCCTCTTTCTTAAAGAAGTTGTTATTAAATATACTTTGATTTCACCCATTCATCAATAATTCTACCTGGAAGGTTTGGTCAGACTACACCATATTTGTCCTGTTCTGGGCCCATTTCTGGGCCTCACCTTAGATGTTTGTATTTTTGTGTGACACAGGCTTCTCATGTTTCCAGCTCGTACATGTTCTTGCAGTTCTTCTCAGATTATGAGGTGGCATTTCCTCATAAAGCCCATGTGGTAAACCCTCTTGTCACCTTGTCCTCCTACAGTGAGAAATGGATACCCCTGAAACTGAACTCTCACAACTGTCCTGTTTGATCCTGACAGGTCCTTGAGCACAATCATGCAGAACAACTCTGACCATTTTCATCTAAGACCATATCCTGAATGTGCAGACCTATGTGTGACCACTTTTGCTCACTAAACCAATCCCCCATGACCTCATCGTCTCTGGGAAAAAATTGCACTGTTACCCCCTTCCGTGTGATGCCTACAATCAGTCAGCACGGAATGGAAACATTTGTGGTCCAATGAAGAATGAACTCTTATGCAGTTCTGGTGGACAATTGGGCCCTCATAATGTCCTGCTGTACAATTGATTCTCATGATATCACAGGGGAGAATGAAATCTATTATCCTGCAGAATAGAAGGCTGGTGATGCCGGCAGTAAAAAGAATTTACCAACAAAAGATATAATAAAGGAATTTACTTAGATCACTGGGTACAGTGTCAAAAAAGACAATGGGTACATTTAAGTAAGGGTGAAAGGGCGAAAAATTGGAGTTTTTATAAGGGAATGAGGTGCTCGCTTTGGCAGCACATATGTATATATGGGAATGAAAATATGGGAAAGGGCCTGAACTGGCAAATGTAGATATCTTCAAAATGCATTTTTCAGGGGATCCTGTTCTTTTAGGAACATCTATATTGTAACTAAGTTGTACATCAAACTTGCAAATTGTCAAGGCCTCAAATTGTCAAGGTCTTATTTAGACTTAAATAAGGACAACTATATATGTTAACTTTTCAGGAAAGATAACATTAGCTGAAGAAGGGAATGGATGGTTTCTGTATTTACTTTTATCCTGTGCTGAGTTTAGTCTTCTAATTTAGGCAGTTCTTTGTGAGTATAGTTCAGCAAGTGCTGGACATTTTTTTTAGTATATGTGCTGGCAAAGCAAGCCCTGAAGACTTTTTAATGGATACATATTAGTAATACAGAATAATGTGATTCATTTGGAAAACTGATATGCAGATACAACTTGCTTGAATAGTTTTGTACATGTTCCAACCCTCTCCTTTTCCTCTTATCTTTTCCAGATCCCTTATCAAAGAAATTTGGGTGCTGAGAATTTCAACCCTTTTGTTTCATTCTATTTGCCATCTTATGTCTGTGTTCATTAAAGAGAACACAGACATAAAGATCTGCTGTTTTCTTTTTTAGTTGAGTTCTTACCTGGTTTTTGAAGCAGAATAATGCTATCTTTCATGATCAAGTTTGGAAATACTCTTTCCCTTCAATTTTATTGGAGAGTTCTAGGAGTATTGGTGTTATATCTTTCCTGTATGCCCTATAGAATGTAGTGGTGAAAACATCAGGTCTTGGGTTTCCTAGTTTATGTATTTTAGTATTTCAGTGTCATTATTTGTTGTTAGATTTGTCATGTCTTGTTTCAATTTTGGTAACTCCTGTGTATCTAGGAATTTGTCTATTTCTTTGATAATGTTGAAATTTGGGAAAATAGTTTTTCATAGTAATTACTAATGATCTGAATTTCAGTTATATCTATTGTAATTTCACCTCTAAAATTTTAATTGTGTTGGTATTGGTGTTTTCTTGTTTTCATAAATTTGGCTATGGGTGTGTCCATTTTAATTACACTTTCAAAGAACCCGCTCACAAATGAATTCATTAAAAAATATTTTTTGGTGTAGATTTCTGCTCTGATCCTTATGTTTTTTTTCCCTTATGCTAGATTTGGGTTTAAACTGTTTTTTTCCTTTCCTTTCCTTTCTTTCTTCCTTCCTTCCTTCCTTCCTTCCTTCCTTCCTTCCTTCCTTTCTTTCTTTCTTTCTTTCTTTCTTTCTTTCTTTCTTTCTTTCTTTCTTTCTTTCTTTCTTTCTTTCTTTCATTTTCATGGTACTGGGGATTTAACTCAGAAAGTTGTGACACTAATCTAAATCCCAGGCCCTTGTTTTAGTTTCTTGAGCAACATCATTAGGGTATTTATTTGACCTCTTTATTTTTTATCTAATGTGGGCATTGACAGCAATCAACTTCTCTCAGGACAGTTTTCACTGTGTCCCATAGGTTCTGATATGTTCATTTGGCATTATTATTTGATTCTAGGAATTGCTTTAATTCCTTCCTTGATTTTTTTCCCTGTGAGCTATTGAGCATTCTGGAATGTACTTAATGTCCAAGTGTTTGTAATATTTATGTGGTTTCTTCTGCAATTAATTTCTAGTTACAGTATGCTATGACCTGGTAGTTTATATAGGATGATTTTAATTCTTTTGTATTTATTTAAGGAATTTTTTTTGGTACTGGTGATCAAACTCAGGACTTTGCACTTGCAGGGCTGGTGGTGGCACCACTGAGCTAAATCCCCAGCCCTTTAAGCGATGTTTATGAACTAGTATGTGTTCTCTTTTGGAGATAGTTCTATGTGCTGCTCAGAAGAATGTGTGTTCATTGTAGTAGTGAAGATAATTATCTACATCTGTAGATAACTAAGCCCATTTGTTCAAAGATGTGGTTCTTCTTTATTTGTTTTCTTCATTGTTTCTGCTTATCTACTTGTGAAGGTGAAGTGTGGAGGTGAGCCATTATGACTGTATTTGTGTTTATTTTATCTTTCATGTCCAGCACTGTTTGTTTTTAACAAGTGAAGTGCTCCAGTATTTGGTGCATCTATTAATCTTTTCCTGTTAAAATTTTTATATTAATTAATTTGTAATGACTTTCTTTGCCTCTTCTGATCATTTTTTTTCTCATTGAGTTTATTGGTACATTTTAGTTATACAGCACAGTTACATTCATTATTGGGACCTTGTACCTTTACATGACAGGTCTTGGTTCTCATTTTATCCCCTTGTCCCTGCCCTCCCTTCACCCCCTCCTATGCTCCCCATTTACAAACACTTTATTTCCTTTTTTTCATTTCCTCATATTTTTTTTCTTTTCCCTTATTACCTTTCCCGTACCCTTCCCACTTTCCCTACACCTTTAGCCCTTTTCTTCCTATTTCATATGGTCAATTGTATCATTAGAATCTTATGTGCTATTATAGTTTGTTCTGGATTTACACATGTGACTTATTTATTTCACTTAGAAGTATATCCTCACTATGTATCCATTTTCCTATGAATGAATCTAATTTCTCATTCTTTATGGGTGAGTAGTATTCCATTTTATAGAAAAACCACATCTTCTTTAACCAGTTTCCAACTGATGGGCAAATGGGCTGTTTCCAAATTTTAGCTATTACAAACTGTGCTGCTATAAACACAGGTGTGCATACATCACTGTGATATGATTCTTTTAATTCTTTTGGAAAGATACCCAGCAGAGAAATGGCTTTATCAAATGGAACCTCTAGTCCCAGCTCTTTGAGGTATCTCCATATTGATTTCCATAGTGGTTGTACCAGTCTGCACTCCCACCAACAATGGAGGTTTCCTTTCTCCCCACAACCCTGCCAACATTTGTTATTGTTTGATTTCTTGATAGCAGCCATTCTTTGTGGGGTGAGGTGGAATCTCAGTGTTGTTTTCATCTGCATCTCTTGAATGACCAGTGATGTGAAACATTTTTTTTCTTATATTTACTTGCTGCTTTTACTTCTTTGTCTGAGAAATATGTCTGTTCATTTCAGATGCCCAGTTTTGAATTGGGTCCTTATATTTGAGGGGGCACTGACTGTTTTGAATTTTTTATATATTCTAGATAAGAGTCCTTTGTCTGAGGAGCAGCTGGTAAAATATTTTTCCTACATTGTAGGTTGTCTCTTAGTTCTGCTGATGGTTTCTTTTGCAGTGCAGAAGCTTTTTAATAAGATGAGATCCCAGTTGTTGATTCTTTCTGCTAGTTCCCATGCTACTGAGGATATGTTCATAAAGTCTTTTCCTATGCCAATGTCTTCAAGAGTTCTGTCTAATTTATCTTCCAGCAAGTTTAATGTTTCTTTTTTAACATTCAGAACTTTAATCCACTTGGATTTTAGTTTAGTGCATGGTGAAAGATAAGGGTCTAGTTTTAATCTTTGGCAGGTTGAGATCCAGTTTTTTCAGCATCATTTATTAGAGAGACTATCTTGCTTCTAGGAGAGGATGGTCGGCTCCTTTCTCAAAGATGAATTAGCTGAGTACATCTGCAGTTGTTTTTGTGTCTTCCATTCTGTTCCACTGATCCTCAGTTCTGCTTTTTTGCCAGTACCATGCTGTTTTTATCACAATGGCTTTATAGTATAGTTTCATATTGGGGATTGCTATA